AGGACTCGGTGCAGCAGGGCCAGAGCAGCTTCCAGTGGTTCAGGGAAGCTGTGGGTGGTGTGGCTCCATCCCAACTCTCTGGGATGCGGAAGGGAGATGGACAACCCAGCCCTGAGAGCCGGGGCAGCGCCGGGACACCAGGCCGTGGGGACACTGGCCAGGCAGGGCTGCTTTCGGGGTGAAGCAAGACAGCGACCCCCTGCTCTCCTCCCCTCCAAAGCTTTTTCAGCATTGAGCCTTCACGCTGGCCACCGACAGGGATGTGGGCAGGGATCCTCGTGCCTCTGGGGCTGCTGGCACATGGCACTCGGCAGCCCGGCTTCGGCACTGTCCGAAGTGACCCGGGCAAGACCAGCATGGCAAGAACCCGCCAAGAACGCGGGCTGGAGCCCCGGCTGAGAAATGGTGTCTGCCATCGGGACACGCCTGGAGAAGGAAATTATCCCTTGAACCGGAGCATCCCGGGCTGGTGCTCACGGGTGTGCCAGGCTGGGTGACTGGGTACCCCCGGGGAAGAGGCATTCATATGGGATGCCAAGGACACAGGCAGCACCCCATCTTTGCCTGGGAGTCACCAGGAGCACCCCCATCCTCACCGACCCTCGGGGCAGGGACTGGAGCAAGTGCTGCTCAGAGCAAGCTTGGGTTTAGGGGGGACACAAAGGGCTTGAGCAAGATGAGCTCCAACAGGACTCGGTGCAGCGGGGCCAGAGCAGCTTCCAGTGGTTCAGGGAAGCTGTGGGTGGTGTGGCTCCATCCCAACTCTCTGGGATGCGGAAGGGAGATGGACAACCCAGCCCTGAGAGCCGGGGCAGCGCCGGGACACCAGGCCGTGGGGACACTGGCCAGGCAGGGCTGCTTTCGGGGTGAAGCAAGACAGCGACCCCCTGCTCTCCTCCCCTCCAAAGCTTTTTCAGCATTGAGCCTTCACGCTGGCCACCGACAGGGATGTGGGCAGGGATCCTCGTGCCTCTGGGGCTGCTGGCACATGGCACTCGGCAGCCCGGCTTCGGCACTGTCCGAAGTGACCCGGGCAAGAACCCGCCAAGAACGCGGGCTGGAGCCCATCTGGCAGAGCTTCAAGTATGTGGTTGGCCTGGCTTCCCCTTTCCCCAGCTCGCTGGAAGCCTCTGTGCTCCTCGCCTGCAGCAAGATCAGGTCCTCGGGGCTGGGGCCCTGCAAGGATGGGAAAAAAAAAAAAAAAGCCTTTTTTTTTTTTCCTCCTCTCCCCAAGAACATTAGGATCCTGCCAAGAAGCTGCGCTCATGAGTAAGATGTCAGAAATCCCGCCCGCAAAACACAACGGTTATTTGTTGCAGGATCCCTGGCACCGACCTCCTGGTGAATCATTTATTCCTCCGCTTCTTCCCGTAAGACCCAACAAGCACGTGCTGCTCCCGGCTGCAAAGGGGCTTCTTGCTGCCCGCCCGGTCGCAGGCCACCAGCGTGCCCGGCAGCGGGATACGGGATCAAACCTCCCCGTCCAGCGCTGGGGGTCAAGAGGTCTTTTTAAAGGGCAGCAAATCCCGGGTTGAAAACATCGCTCTGACCTTCCAGGCTCTTGGCTGCTTCCTTCTGGCGCTGGCAACAGCCACAGCCATTACACAAGGGGCTGGCGGGGCGCCGGCGGGGGGGCTGGACCGCATCCGCCCCGGCTCCTCACGCTTTCTCCCTGAGCCCTGCTCTGCCCCGATCCCGCACGGCGTATCGCTGCCCCGGGGAGTTTTGGTGCTGGCACGGAGGGGGGTATGGAATCACCGTGCACCCCCCGGGAGCTCTTCCCCCCCCCCTCCTCAATCACAACATGTGCAAAAAATCCCGGAGCACATCTTCCCATGTACGCTCTGCAGCCAAAAACCCACCCACCC